AATATAATATAATATAATATAATATAATATAATATAATATAATATAATATAATATAATATAATATAATATAATGTAATACAGTATAATATAATGCTATATAATATAATATGATATAGTATAATATAATATAATACAATACAACATATATAATACAATATAATATAATATAATATAATATAATATAATATAATATAATACAACATATATAATATAATATAATATAATATAATATAATATAATATAATATAGCATAATATAATATAATATAATATAATATAATATAATATAATATAATATAATACAATGTAATATAATACAATGTAATATAATACAATATAACATAACATAACATAACATAACATACTATAATATAATAATAATATAATATAATAATATAATATAGCATAATATGATATAATATAATATAACATAACACAACATAACATAACATATCATAACATAATATAACATAACATAACATAATATAATATAATATAATATAATATAATATAATATAATATAAAATAATATAAAATAATATAGTATTATATTATATTATATTATATTGTACAATATAATATATTACAATGTAATATAATATAATATAATATAACGTAACATAAAATAAAATAACATAATATAATATAATATAATATAATATAATATAATATAATATAATATAGCATAATATAATATAATATAATATAATATAATATAATATAATATAATGTAATATAATGTAATATAAATATTTATTATTTAAATTATACAGATATAATCCCTAACAACACAACATAGTCACATAGATATTTATTATTTATGTGCCAATTTCATTCTATATTTTTCATAGCTTTTTGTTTGTTATTTCAGATTTTGGTTGCCAAATCCAACCCAGATCTACACAAACGTTTTACTATTTTTAATTAAGAGATTATTTATAATTAGTACCATTATATGCAAATATATGCAAATACACAAATTAAATACCATGCGTAACAACTACATAATAAATTGAAGTATAAACACATGTTGTTACATATCTACACACAATTAATATTATTAAATATTTATAATAATATTTTATTATTTTATTATTATTATTATTATTAAATATTATTTAAGGTGATTAGATACAGCAATATAATTTACATCTAATTAACAGCTGACCTTTAACGAGGCCCAGAATTGGATTTTTCCAGACGTCTCTCGGAGCTGCAAAGTGACAAAAATCAAACACCAAAAATGGATTTTTTTGATGGAAATTTTGCCATATTTGGGGACATTTGGGGACATTGGGACAGGGAACCGTTGGGGATAAAGAACATGGGGACAGGGGACATTGGGGACAACAGGGCTGTGGGGACACTGGGGACACTGGGGACATCGGGGACATTGGAGACATTTGGGGACATTGGGGACACTGGGAGAATTGGGGACATTTGGGGGCATTGGGGGATTGGGGACATTTGGGGCATTGACACGGAGAAATGGGAACATGGGGACCTGGGTACACGCAGATAAAAGGACATTGGGGACACAGGGATGGGGGACACTGGGAACATGGGGACATTGGGGACATTGGGGACACTGGGGACATTGGGGACATTTGGGACATGAGGACACTGGGATGGGGAGACATGGGGACATTGCGATATGGGGACAGCAGCACGTGTAGGTGGCTATGGGGACTTGGCTACACAGATCTACAGGGACATGAAGACACACGGGGACAGGGGGACACTGAGGGGACACTGATGGGACACTGAGGGGACAGGAGGACACTGAGGGGACACAAGGCCTGCAATAAACCCAGGCCTTTGTTTACACCGCCGCCATCTTTGCCTCAACATGGCGGCGCCCGCAGCGCCCTCACGACGGGGGCGGGTCGCGATCTCCGGGCGCAGTTCCCAAAGCCCCCGGGGACCGATGGGTCGGGCGGGGATCCCGCACCCTCGGGAAGGTCCGGCCCCGTCCCCGCTCCCCCGCCGCGGCCCTCACCGAGCGCCGCCCGCTTCCAACATGGCGCCGCCCTCACCCAAGATGGCGGCGGGGCGGCGGAAGCGCCTCTGGCCTCGCCGTCTAAGATGGCGCCGCGCGCGGCCCCGCGCGCTAAGATGGCGGCCGGCCGTGAGAGCGGCCGTGCCCGGCGCCAAGATGGCGGCGCGGCGCTGCGCGGAGCGGCGCCCCGGCCCAAGATGGCGGCGCGAAGCCGGGCCGGGGCCGCGTGAGGGGGGAACTTCCGCCCGCGGCCAAGATGGCGGCGCGGCGGCGCCGTGCGCATGTGCGGGGCCCATGGCGAGACAAGGGGCCGAAGGCGCGCAGGGCCCGAGGCCGAGAGGTACCGGGGGCGGCCCGGGGGGGCCCCGCGGGGCGAACCTCGCCGGGAACGGGACACCGACACCCCGGGACGGCCCCGGCCGTGGGGAGGGAGCGGCCGCGCCCGCCGGGCTCGCGGGGTGGGGCGGGGGGGGGGGGGGCGGAGGAGAGGGTGACCCCCCCCCTCAGGCGCGCGCAGCGGGTTGTCACTGTCACCCCTCGGTGGTGTCCCCTCCCCCCGCCGTGTGTCGGTGTCAACCCCTCCCCTCCCCCCACTTTGTCACCGTTTTGGGTCTCGCCGCCCGCCCCCCCCCCCCGCTGTGGCAGTGTCGCCCACGCTGTTCCCCCCCTCCCTCCTCCCCATTTTGTCACCGCTTTTGTGTCCCCTCCCCTCTGCTGGCGCCCCCCGCCCCGTGGCTGTGTCCCCGTTCTGTCGCTGTCACCCCTTTGGTGTCCACCCCTCACTTTGTCACCCTCCCTCCTTCCGTGTCCGCCCCCGGGTCTGTCACCCCCCACCTCGGTGTCACCCCCGCTCCGTTACTGTCACCCCCCCTTGGTGTCACCCCCCCTTTGTGTGTTCCCACTCTGTCACC